CTCAAAATAATCTCGCATTAATTTTAAATTGTTCCATCATTTTACTATTACTATTAGTTTCTTTCAAGTAACTGTTTTTGCAAAACAAATTTTTCAACTGGCTTTTAATTCTGTCATATAAATCCAGATGATTTATTATTTCGAATGAGATTTTGCAAATGAACGTAAGACAATGTTACTTGAACTGCGTTATTTTTCAAATAAAATTTCATGGTAAGAATTTTGCTACTTCGAATTGTCAATATTTATCCGTGTTTCAAATAAAGTTTGCTCAACCAGTTAGAAATCACTTCGTACAGATGTTGAGAGGAATTGTGTTGCTACAGGCTATCCAAATTACTAGGTTTCGGTATTTGCAGACAATACTCGATCGTAACATCTATTTACCAAACATTCACTCGGCCTCGGGCCATCCATGAACCCTCTACTTCTTTTAGCCGCGAAACTTCTCGTCTTCCTCCTATCTTTTGCTCTAATTCTTTTATATATTTTTATATTCTAAGTCTTCACGTGCGGAAAGTGCTTCCATGATTGTATACAAGCTTTCAAACACTTTACAGATCACATAAGGCTACGCCTTTTTTTCATATTATATCTACGCCTACACGAATCCTACAGCTATCCACGCGTACAGAAGAGGTGCCCCCATACAGCCCTCTTCTACACTTTAATTATTTATTGTGCAGACCGAGAGGCCACCTCTGTAAGAACTATTGTAACAATTCGTGGACAGGGGTTTAACTCCTTCGTTGATCTGTACCGTCATCTTGCTAATCTTCTATTATCGAGGTGAGCTATTAAAATAAATTGTGTAAAGCGAGTTATCAAAGTGAGTTATTAAAGTGGACCGGATGCTCCATGTTCTAGGAGAAATGAAACCTGCGGTTTATTTGTTAATCATGACACCGCAGTTTCATATAAATTGACAGGGGAGGTAGATCAGCCGATTCGGTTTCTGCTCCACGTGATAATTCATAATTTTTAAGATAATTCATTGTTTTTTTTTACATAACACTCGACACATATTGAACTTCTGCGAATATATTGAACAGTTTATGTGGCCAATTCTGAGCTTCGTTGAATTTCATTTCTTGATCGCTTCTCGATTGTTTCTATGTATTTCATTTAAAAAAAATTTAAGGAATAAACAAAACGATAAAATTAAAATGAATATTATTACTTAAACTAAAAATATATCGAGTGAAATATATATATATATATATTGTTGGGAAACAATATTTTGTAGAATATTTCAGCAATAGCTAATGCGTGGCATATATATAATTATAGGATACCGTGCTATAGCAAAACTACGTATTTCTCAAACGATACTCACTTTCATCTCGCGTCTCACGTCCGAACTATTGTAGTTCAGATCAGGTTCCTGTTTGACGAATTGATGCAGGTAATACGCCTGGCGTTCATCTCGCCACTCCCAAGCCGATCCACCCATTTGACTCACCTGTACACAAATATGCGTTTATAAATTTAGATTTGTGGATAACGAACAAAGTTGTCCAAGCTTTCGCATAATGCAGAGCCTGCATTCAAAAATTGTCTAATTAGATGAAGGGTTCACGACAATTTTCGAATTTCGAAAGTTTGAGCTTTCTTAATTTAACGCTTGAACCTCTGAGGTTTAGTCACAAACGTTAGAATCGCGGTTAAGAACTACAAATTTTTCAGCTTCGCAAATTCAGAGATTGTTAATGATGGACAATTCAATGGCAACGTGTGAGATCATTTAATTCATTCTTGCCTGCGCGTTTTCAAACAAAAGAGAAATGCAGATTTCGAAAGAAAAGGCACTGTCTGTTTCCTAGGAAATGTGCATCCAGAGTGGATGAAACAAACGTGCGCAGTATAAACCGATCTTTGTGAAAAGAAAGAACGAACAGCACGATTGTAGAGAAACTTCTGGGAACTGTCACAATGTAACAGGATAGTATGTCCATAAAGAATGAAGAAAAGAGAAAAAAAATTTAATGCACCTGTGATATCATTGTTTCTGAATTTGAACCGTTTCCCTTCTGAACCCATCTCGATATGGAATATTTAGTATTATTCAGCTACTACGTGTCGATCATAAATCGTGGAAAGTTTGTGCAGAAGTTTCGCTACGGAGTAAGCAAACTGTCGACCGACTTTTACGCTGCGACTTTTATTTCCATTATTCGTTTTTCTGTGTCCTAAGGATTATTACACGAAGGAACACGAGAGAAATATTTAAAATATTTATGAATAACATTAGAATGATATTAGCACAGAGCAAGATTTGCGTGCGATGGAATTTGATTCACGATAGCATTTAAAGACTGAAGGAACATTTGAAGAAATTTAAATCACGCTTACCCAATTGTTTGGCGGTTGACGCGTGCCATTTTCTGTCCGTCCTGAATGCCAAACGTAATAATTGTCGTAAGGTGGAATTCCCTGCAGGCTCTTATTGAACCATTCGTGTTGGTCCGACGTGTGATTGGGGACAAAGTCCAAGATCACTGATAAATTTCTATCATGCGCGGCTTTCACTAGGTCCTCAAAGTCCGTCAGAGTGCCAAATATCGGGTCAATTTCCGTGAAGTTCGAAATGTCGTAGCCGAAATCTATCATCGGACTGCGATAAATGGGCGACAACCAAATCGCGTCAAGGTTTGATGCCACCACATGATCCAATCGTTGGATGATACCTGGCGATAATTTGCAATTTTTTAGGCACTGTACGTCAAAATTACGTTCAAGTGTGACATTGTTTGAAAAAAGAAAGAGAAGAAACAATTTCGTTGAATTTCCACCGGCCGAGAATTGAAAATTTTATTTTCCAGCGACGTCACGTGACGCAGAGGTGCATATCTTTCGTGATGTCCGAAAAATTTGCGAGAAAGTTGAAAATCTCTTGCAGAGCACGCCGCTTTCGAGTTCGTGCTGCTTCAAAGCGGCAAATGTGCAACAGAAATTAAAATTTATTTTTAAATTCAAACATTAACTTCTCCCTTCGAGCTTTTACTCGCGCTTCGCTTTCCTCCTTTTTTCCTCGATTAATGTTTGCACGCTTAGCTCTGTTAATTACATCCGTTGCCGCTCCTTCGTTCACCGTTGTTACATAATTGCGCAAACAAATCGGAAGTCGACGGGACGAGGAGGTGCAAAGAGGAGGAGCAATCATGCATCTGTTTACGAGCCGTGACACCGGTAAATCGGTAAAGTTTCGCGGTTAATTACCATAGTAGATTCATCCTTGACTGAATTTGTGCAATTTCTTATTTTACTTTTTCTCGACGAAATAGGACTTGAGCCTTTATTTCTTAAAGAAATTTTTTACGAGTATTCCACTTTTCATGTTTCATACATTTTTGTACGTTCTCTGTACTTTTTGCTTTTTCAAATTACCCATAAATTTATAGAAATCAACGCAGTTCGTTTAATCGTGCATCATGGTGCTTGAGAGATTGTTATTAAATATATTCCTACATATTGAATTAATTGTTTTTTAATAAGTTAAAACAACTATTATTGTTAGTAGAAATATAAGTTTTATTTATTTTATGTACCCATTGTGCAAAAGAGTGTATTAGTATTGGTATATATTGTAAAATTCTGTAAAATTGTACTGTGTAAAAATGCTTCAATTGTGACAAATATTTTCAAAAAGATATTTACAATTAAATATTAGTTTTCTACTGCAAGTACTTAAATACTTCCTCAGTATAATGATTCTGAATCAATACGTTTTCTAAATGAAATATTTAAATATCTTTAAACTATGTAATAATTCACATAACTTTTTGTTTTGTGAGACTATTTCCGATTTTCATTCACCCCTATTTTCCTTCTTGCATTTTATTGTATTATTTGAAATATTTGCAAATATTTTTGAAATTCTTTATTGTTACCATTCAAAATCAAAATCAAATTTTTATATATATATATATATATATATATATATATATCGTAGATAACATCAACAATCTTTATAAAACCATTATAATAACGAACTTAAGAATTAATAAACTAACATAAACGATTGATGTAACTATGATCAATAAAGCAAAGCAAAGGAATTTCTGATTATAAAATACACTGTGAAAACTTGAATTGTCAGAAAGAGAGAAACGTACCTCTAAGATCACCGATGCCGTCTCCATCGCTGTCTTTATAACTCCTAGGATAGATCTGATACAGTGAAAAGTCTGTAATATTGTCCGGCGGATTCCACGTTATTCCGATGACCAGAGGCAGTATTGCCACGCAAAATGTTATTACCGCCCTCATGTCCCTTGAACACACAAAATGCACCGCTGAATGCCGAATTAGTTGCCTAATTAATCGCGTGACTTTGGGTTTAGGTGCACTCTTTGCACAACGTTCTAATCACGTACACTAGTCCGATACTCAGCGGTTCCGCGTTGTTTACTCGACAAATACAATAAATTCTGCAGTTTAGAAATCTACTTAATCACGATTTTCCAGCGGATGGAACTTGGAGAAAAAAGTTATCCTTTCGGAGTGTGGTAATTTATCATTTTTAATAATTTGCCATTTAATGTTCTGAGACGAGGACTGTCACCGTCTCATGAAATGTTTCCTCCAACAAAATGTTTAAAAATTTCGATTTATAACGTTTTGATACTATGCGTTTAAATTATGTGGAATATTCTAAGAATATTTCAGTTTCGAAACCTCGCTTTATTTTGAAAATATTGATTTACAATTTTCAATTTTAAGAACATCTAAATTTTAACAAACTCGCCTCATAAATATTTGAATTAATTTATGTAGAATACTGAAACTCAATAAAATGTATTGTGAAATATTATACAGTATTATTCAGTTATATTTATCCAATATATATTCAAAACGTTTAGTCGGTCTGAATTTTTTTCTTGTTCAAGTTCTTACTTTACTATGATATTCTTAATATTCCGAGTTCTTGAAATACTTTTAAAAATAAAATTGCTGGTTTTCGATAACCATCGCGACAGTTTGTATATTGAGTTCTGTACCTTGCTTCGAGATATTCGGTGCAATCGATTGTATCCGCTGGGGATATTTGTTGTCAACGTTCTGACATGGACTACGATAATGTATGGTGCCAGCTACCTTTTTATAGCTAGTCTTTTAACGATTATATGATTCATTATCTGTTTAGAGTACTATCGATTTTTTCTTTTAATTTTTGTTAAAGTGTGTCGTCTTATCGCAGCAGAGTCGTATATATAATTTTGACTTAAATGGATGCGCTTGAAATTTCCACGATAATGTTGCGAGGAAAATGTGACAGCATAGTGATTAGGGATATCTATTGGATAAAGTTGAAAGAAGTATTTTATTACTATGAGAATTTTATTAAAATATATAAATTTTAATGAGAAAACATTTGAAACGATTTAAAGTTGAAAATGATATTATTGTAGTATAACATGTAATAAGTGATATGTAATAGATATTATTACAATATAACATTTTATAAAATTGAAATACTGTTGTCATTACTAAACTTTGAATCATCCATAAAACAGAAGTTTGTTACTAACGGTGGCCAATAATTGTATTATAGTAGTATTATACGTGATTAGTAATAAATAATGAAAATGTGGTCACATTACAGTTGGAAAATCAATAAATTAGCATTTACGTTTCGCCGTTGTGCATGTTGGGCCCGTGATAAATTGAAGCAGCGTTAAGATCAAGATTATCTACAATCTATAGCATCGCTATATGCGTACGTACAATAGAACGCATCGATTTATGCGATGCACGAATAGCACACGCACGTTCTCCATTCCTGTCGAGTCAATTCTGAATTCAGGATTCCGAAAGATCGCGGTTGTTTACGTTGCCATCATTGCACGGCGAATCCTGACTTTACCTATGGTAACGAACCAGATTTTCGACACACACTTTTACTAGATTTGTATCTGATACTCACTGTCACATTAATATTTCGTTAATTAATTGACGTGTTAATTTTTCATGATTTCATAGTCTGTAGATAATATATTAAAATGCTCTGAAAAAGGAGATCGTCACTGATATTAGAAGATTTAGTATATTTCACAAATTCTAACTTGAGAAAAGGTATTAATTATCTAATTATATAATTAACTAATTGCCGAATTAATATTTATTAATAATTATCTTGGACTCGAACGTCTTTTATACCAACTATGTATATGCTCAGTTCTAACTATATGCCAAGTTCAGCGTTTCAATTATAATATTTTATTGATATGTTAAATTTTATTTATTTTATTCTATTTTACAAAATTTTGTTTTACTTATGTGTGTAAACACACAAGTAATATGTGTTTAATTCTTCAAGGATAAAATTTTCATTATCAAATTTTGTACATTAGTCTTACTATATTTTCCTTATAATGTCATCTTACGTGTAATCTCGCATTATGTGTTTCGTAACTTTCTTTATTGATATTTAACGTATCTGAAATATGTAATTATACAAAATTATAGATAATTCCACGAGATAAAAGTAAAAAAATTCTTAATGGAAAGTAAATTACTAGTTTCAACCTCTTGGAAACTGTCATTATCAGTATACAGTGTCTTGCAATATATTGTTGTTTGTATAACATAGCATGATGAAAATTTTAAAAGAAACTATAAAATTGATATTTGCAGTCCAGTTTCTAAAATATGTGATATATTTGAAAGCTCGAAATTGTAAAATGTGAATTTAGTAATCTGATGTGTTTCTCGTTGCTTTTGTTATATCTTGCAAAGGTTATGCCTTATTACACTTTACGAAATTTAATTCTCAAGTGGTATTGTGAAATTAAATTTATGACTTTAATAATCTTACCTCGTGTTTATAACGGGGATTGGTAATAAAATTAAATCAGATTAAAAATTCCACTCGAGCAATGCAGAATCTAAATTTTTACATCTTCGAATTTCCGATGATACGAATCAAATACTATTATAAAACAACATTAAATTAAAATAATCGTATCGACCTTTTAAACTATTTTCTGTCTACTGTATATACTTACGTACTTTTTCGTCTACTTACGTAACATGAATGTTGCATATGATTATTGGAAAATTTTTTTATTTTAAACTATCGTTACGGTCATTTAGGGGACACTCACAATTACTTTAAGGTCAAATTACGTAACACTAAATATTAGTTCTAACTCATTACACTAAATATTAGTTTCAGAACGTTGAAAATCATGTTTATATTTTTAAACAATACATTTAGAAAAGAAATGCACATTTCATACATTTAGAAAAGAAATGCACATCGTTGCAATAAAATCCGCGTAACACTGCAAAAGTTTCACACCACGATTAAACCGCGTGAAGTCGTCAAAGTTTTCAAGAAAATTTCGATCTACGTAAATATATCAAAACTCTCGTGAAATATTTATTTATACATGAAATAAATATACATATCCAATCTCGTAGAATGAATATACATCTAAAGAAACGATATGCAGCTTGGTACATATATTTGCACGTAGGAGTTAAATTGTGGATACAGATTGCACGGAGTACAACAATTTTGTACAATTGCGTAGCAGTCTAGCTATACGAGCTAACAGTCTAGCTATACGAGCCACCGGAGACACCTGAAAGTCCTCGTTTAACTATCTTGTCCGTACAAATACATTCTCTGTCCTAACCTTTGCTGTTCTAACATTCTGGGATAGCATTTCTCGGATATTTTGCTGATAAATGTTAGACGAAACACATCTACCTTTCATTTTTCTTTAGAATTCTTTAGAATATTTTGTAAAACTTTATCGATATTTAATTTGTTAAATAAACGGCGCGAAATAGACTTGTATTTGTATACACATTCTATGAAAAATTAGTCGAGTCTCTGAAAATTTATTGTCGTATATAAGAAATTATAGAATCAAGTCATTTTGACAATTCTAGTTGTAATATAATTTTAATAACTACACTACCAAATCAGATTATACATAATTAAATATTGGATTAAATATTTAAAGGAGAATAGATAAATACTTCGTTGTGGGATTAGCCAGTTTCAAAATTTCGCATTTGGAGTGGTAAGGATGACCACAGACCTGGCGGGCATGGTCAGGCGTCGAACCTGGAAGACTTTTTCCCTGCATTTGCAACAAAGAGACAAACAAGCGTGAATTAGTAACGAAATGAAAGTTGAGAAAAGATACATGGATTTATCATCACGATGACGCAAATTAAGCCAATAAAACTTGAAAAAATGATCACACTTACCAAGGAAGTACCTTGGAGTCAGCAGTGGCGTAATATACGTTCAATATCCTCGGTATGTTATCAAACGCTGATAAGTTCACTATTGAGTTCTTGTCGCCGAAGTTCGTTATAACGTAAACGCTTCCATGCTTCTTGGTTTCTCTGAAGAAATTACGACATTTCATTGAGAAGATGAAGGTGTCACAATCAATCGTAAATAAAAAATTTTTATGATCCCGCGAAGCTGATAAATATAACGTATAAATCTAACTTCAAAGATCGACATAGCTGCGTATAATATATCGCGATTAAATGGCGTTTTAGCAATCAATGTGTAATGTTGAAATTGGTGTTTGCATTTGTAGAATCTTGCAGAATTATTTCGTCACTTGCCGTATTCTTCATTTTCGGATTTTGTAAATTCTGAATTGTAATACGTTTCGAATGATAAATAATATTTCTTAAAAATTTCTGAATCGAGTGATTCCTTTATTTCTGAATTGCATTTAACACAAGTATTTCTATCTTGATTTAAATAACAAACCTATTTAATGTATACATATAGTAAATAGACTAATAAAATATATCACCGTGGTTTTCTTTAATTGCTAATTCAAATATAAATGTAATTTGTCAGTTCCGTGAAAAAAGAAAACGTAAATACTGATATCAGTTTTAATCAAATACAAATACTGTTAACTAAATAAAAGGATAGTTATAAACTATAAAGCATATACTATATGTAGCTACGCGATTAATCGTTATTTTCTCGCGTAATCGGTAAGTATTGTGTCGATTTACACGGAGTATCATCCTTACCTCGCGAATGCGAAAACATATTTATTCAGCACTTTTGTAACTAAATTAGCCTGCTTGAAGTGCGGCGATTTCTTCAGCTTTGAGAGTTTCTTATAGAGAGTATAGTACGAGTTCTTGTCTTTCTTCTCGTCAGCTAGATTCAAGGTCTTGTAATTAGCGTTGACTGGAAGCCAGGTATGGGAATTTGAGGAAAATCCTGCGAATTGATACTCTTGGTTATTAAGATCGTTGTTGTTTTGAATTGAGGATTTAATAAACATATTCTCAATGAAGGCATGATGTCATGTTGAAAGAACATACGTAACATCGAAAAATTGTCGTGATAGCAACGATATCACGCGTATCTACTAATTTTTCTTTAGAGGATACGTCTTCTTGTTACTTTCCTTCGTCACAGACGAAAACACGATTAGCTGAACATTTGGATTATAATAAACGTGAATTGTACTTTAACTAACTAACATTATTAACTAGTTCGTTATAGTGCAATATTGTATGTAATATACATTAATATATAAGTTGCAATATAACATATAATGAGTGATTTAATCAATCATATTACGACCTATATTGCAAATTAAATTAATTGCTACTTGTAGTGCCAAAAATAATACTATCGATGAATCCATATCAGACAAGTCTAATAACATGAATAGTTTATAATTTGTCGAATCACAGTTTTCTATTAATAATAGCTCATTATGACAGAATATCGCGAATATTAATATATATTAATAAATATAAAATTACTTTTCGTGAATTCGTACAATAGTAATTTGCAGTTTAAGAAATCATTTATAATTTTCCTCTAGTCAAATATTTAGGTAATATTTTTATATTATAAGGGGTATCAATAAACATAAAATTATTATTCGTTTAATGCTTGCGTACATAGTTCATCAAATCGTTCGTAATTTGTAAAATTTAGATATTCTTTCCAAGTGGCTATCAACAAGTGTGAAAAAAAGTTGACCCTATAGTATTCTCAATTTGACTTGTTCTTTCCGCTAACAGGAAATTGCCTTTCACCGAAAATTTGTTTCTAAAAAGAGTTCTTCAGAATCGCATTGTTGGTCCAAAAACGGTTTCTTCCG